CAGGCTATGACCTATTGTTTTGAAGATGAGAACTTTCACTTTGTCAATAAGGGTTTTCATTTTTTTGCAAACAAGTGCAAACAGTTGATCCTTATCAACCGTAGTGAAGTTTGTAGTGTTGCCTACCATTTCCTTTAAGGCTTCCAAGGCTTCAATGTCTCCGATCTTAGCAGCAGCACATGCCAGAGGGGGGGTCAGGGCATCACGGATGGCTTCCAGCTCCTGAACACACCACAGACTCCATCAGAAAAACTGCAACTTGACCGATGTGTAAAAATGAATCAACTTTGGCTTCTAAAGGTTTCTAAAAATTCATAATCATTGCCCTGATTTCTATGTGGGTTGAAGGTTTTTTTGTCAAATTATGCAAAAAGGAAAACAATGTTTTGTTAATAATCCTAATGGCTATTTTTTGGGTGAAGTGATAGTAACATACTGTAGTAGTCACACTGCTTAGGTCTGTGTATAGCCTTACCTCCTTGCAGCTGATGCTCAGGGACTTGGCGATGACCTGGATGAAGCGGCTATCGCTCAGACAAAGCTTGGCGCCTGCTAAGTTACTGCTCATCTCACCTCGCAGGTTCTGAGCCATCATCTGCACAGGGTAACACAAAACACCCCTTATGATTATTATTGTAATCTACATGGTGATCCAATTTTGAATGTAGGCACCAACCTCTTTCTTAGCATCAAGAGTTATATCTTTTTTGGCCAAAACGTAGGACAGCTTTGACAGGGCCGCCTCTGGAGTCATGTCCCCTCCAGCTATCAGCCCTGCATCCTTCAACACCTGAGAAGCCAAAGGTACATATGATGTGATTGATTCCTTCAACTGGACAGTCTCCTTGTTTTCTATGTAGGAAATTAATGATTCAGAAAATGTAGTAAAAACTTGAAAAGCACTGATCAACCGGCCGGTGATCGTAACAGTTTGATTTCCTGCTTGACTGGCCTTGACGGTGACTGGGTGATAAGCCTGGGGTTTGGAAATTCTATGCAGGCGAAATTCACACGCATGCATGAACATGCAATTTCCCATTACAAAATGTTTGAGTATGCTGTCAATTATCGTTCTTATAAAGAAAAAACATTGGAATAAGGCAGGTAAGACTTTAGAGAGAAATTAAGTGTGTAGTTTAAATGGGTAAGGCGACTTGCCTCGCCGGTGGCGTAAGACATGGACACAGTCCCCCTCAGACACTGGGTGCAGTTCATGATGATGACTCCATCGTCGGTGGCCTTCTTCAGCGCTTCCAGCAGAGGAGGACGGTTGTCGGGGGCATTTCCACTGCCGTACGTCTCCAGGACCACACCCTCCATGGGCGGCTGCAGGAATGCTTTCACCTGGACACAGACATATAAAGGATTCCAATTACAAACCCCAAAGATGTATTGATTACTGAACTGGCTTCTTAGCTGTGTAGAATCAAATTGGGAAATTAGTATTCCATGTTATCTTTCCTGCAGCTACTTTCACTGCAATGCATAAGACCATCCACTCTCCTAAAAGCCCATCTGGTGCCGCCTATGCAACCAGTATCTCAGTCGCTGGTTGGCTGGCACCAGGAGGCCCTACACCACATCATTAGCCATGGCATATGACTAGAATTGCTGATGACTGAAATGGCAGGAAGGAGAGCAATTAATCTGAAGGTGTTAGCAAGCATAAACTCACTTGGCAAGACCAAAGCAGTTACCATAAACTGTGAGAAGAATGTGACATTAAATGTGCCAGGCTCGGTCAGTATTTTTTGATGTGATAGCAGTTTGACAGAAATGTTTTGATGCAGATTACCAATGAAGCTCTCGTAGAGCAGAGACAGCGGGCGCATGAGAGCCCGGTGTCTAATCAAAACAGTGCCTCATAAAAGGCAGTTAAAGGCTGTAAGGAAATCTTGATAGCCAAGCTGGGCAGCGAGAGCAGATTGAGATAGTAAAGTCACTCTCCCAGCAGCCTCTGCAGGGGGAGGTGCAGCTAAATGTTACAGTATCTAGCCCAATCCTCCCTCTTTACAGGGTGATTGGTCATGGCCCATAACGCCTTCTCATCTTTCTCTGGGTTGAGCTTTGATGGCAGTTTACATGACCGGGAAGGTAACGGAAGACGGGTAATAGCATAATTAAATTAAAGTTAACTATATTTTATTGCAGGTAGACAAAACAGCAGTTTTGAGCAGTCAGTTACCTCTGAAGAGCATATCTTTTATTACATGTTAATATTGTATGAAGAAAAACTTTGTAATATGCAACCGCTACAATATTTGTATTTACTCTTTGTACAATTTGACTAAATATATCTGGTGTTGATTTTAAGGCATTTCTTACTAAAAGATCATGAAAAGACATCAGATTAAACTCTTAAAGGTCACCCATCATGCTATTTTTAGGCAATAGCATAGGTCTCGGATATAAAAACATGTTTTTGTTTTGCTCAAAATACCAAACAAATCACCCATTCTAGCCATGCTTCATATCCCTCTATTTCACTTCCTGTTTCAAAAGTGCTGATTTTGGGTATAAAGCTTTATAAAAAAAAAAAAAATTAAAAAAAAAAAGAGGGGCGGAGATTATGCCTGCTCATGCGGGAGATTCTACCGGCAGATACTGCCGTGATGAAACGCCATATCATGGATTATCAAGGATTATTTCTGAAACAGTATGGAGCTCAAAGGCTTTCTCTCTTGCTTGTTATACCACAAGATGAGTTCCTTTTTATTTCCTGCTTCTTCACACACATGCTCCCTGCCGTACAGGTTGGCTCTGAGTGTTGGCGATGCTAATGTAAACACCGACCATATTACGTTCAAAACAGTCGGGCATTGTTTCTGATACAGGGTTCCTGCAGGTTTCACCAACTCAAATTTAAGATTTGTTAAGACCTTTTTAAGACCACTTTGAATAGAATTTAAGACCAATTTCACAGCAAGAAAGTATGAAGGAAAATTGCTATGAAAGAAGAAATATAATCCCATAATTACTTTCAAAGTAAATGTATTCACGTTCAACATAAGAACGATGACTGAACATAACAGCACACAGAACTGAGTTAGCCAAAAACCAGGAAAAAAAGAACTGCCTAACCTCGAAAGTGTGTGTGTGTATGTTGGTGTTTAGCTACGGTATTTAGCATCCACAGCACCTCCACTTTTAGGGTTGACGTAGACCCAAACGTCGCCCGGAGGCAGTGGTCGCGTTAACCGAATATTTT